GGAAGTCCTCACATACACAGTCACAGGTTCTCAGAGTAGGAAGTCCTCACATACACAGTCACAGGTTCTCAGAGTAGGAAGTCCTCACATACACAGTCACAGGTTCTCAGAGTAGAGAAGTCATCTCATACACAATCACAGGTTCTCAGAGTAGAGAAGTCCTCACATACACAGTCACAGGTTCTCAGAGTAGAGAAGTCCTCACATACACAGTCACAGGTTCTCAGAGTAGGAAAGTCATCTCATAGTCACAGGGTTCTCACAGTAGGGAAGCTGTGACATTGCTTTTTCTGGTCAAGGTTTTCACCTTGAAACATATGTAGTATCATTTTCTTTTGTCTTAAGGGTGGCCTTCTGTAGGAGCAGCTCTGTCAGGCTCTCAAAATTCCTCAGCCCAGTGTTTCATGGACCCTGGTGAATCTCTAGCCAGATGAAACACATAAAGCAAGTTCACTAAGCTTCCATTTAACGTGTGCATGGTGAGAGTTCTGGCCTAGGCTGCTGTTTGCTGGTACCTTCCAAGCCTTTGGCTGCAGACAGTGGGGAGACATGGCTGACCAGCCTCTGATGTTCTTTTGGCCACAGGGAAGGTAGAGCTGCAGCGTGGGCTGCAGGCTGTCTACCGTGGCATGCCTCTGATATGGACACCAGGCTACCTTGACAGAGCCCTTCAAGTGATGGAGAGGGTGGCCTCCTCCTCTGAAGATCTCAAGCTGTGTAGAGAAGCGGTATGTTTTTCCTCCCCCACTCAGTGGGTCGGCTGGGTGGTTTGAATTTGTTTCCATTGTCCTCCTCCTTCCCCTGCTTTCTGCATTTGTGCAGAATTGGTATTTATTCAGTTTAAAGGGATGAAAAGAAACCACAAACATTTTCAATGTTGCTGTCAAAAAGGCAATGGAAAATAAGATTATTGTTGATTCATACCTCATTATGTAAGAAGAAAACTGTCTGCTCCCTTGAAATTCAAGCTCAGATCAATAAATACCACCCTGTTCACCACCTCCCCCATCCAAAAGGAATTTATGGCGGAGTAATAGAAAACTTAAATAATTTTGCTGGGTTTATCCCTCATGTAATATGGAGAGACTCCATAGCAGCTTTCTTTATTATTCTTGGCTGTTGGTAAAGTATCTGTCTCACAAGCTTAAGTACTGGAGTTCAGATCCCCAGAACCACTCACAAAGCCAGGCACAGTGCAGTTACAGTCCAGTAACGGAGGATGGGAAGCAGGGAGATGTGACCGCTGGAAGCTGGCCAGCTAACCTAGACTATAAAGGTGAGGTCCACATGCAGACACACACGAACACCTCTCACTCTTCAGCTTGCCACACAGGATCTGGGTACCAGAGAAGACGCCATCTTACTTTCTTCCCGTTGGACTGCTCTATAGTACATGGTAATGCTGAATCTATGTCACAAGGTTCTGTCAACATTCAAGGTGTTTGGTTTGCCTGTCTCAAACGTTGTCCCTCCCCCCCCCCCCCGGTGCCAGAGTTCATTTCTTAGTCACCTAAGCGCTTTGACACAGTTCACTGGACTGAGCTTAGACTAGGAAACACTGTGGGCCTTCCACCCAACACGGAGTCAGTGTGTTCCCTCCTGTCCCCACTGTTCTGTCCAGAGACCAGCCCAGACGAGGTCTCATCAGAACGAAAGGTTGCCTTGGAGCTGCTCGTTTGTGTGGCCTTGACCCTGGAAGCCGAGGCTCACCCCTCAGCTTTCTTTTCATCATGAGATGCTCAATCCAGTGCCTACCATGGCACGTTATGCTGACACCTACTGATGTCATTAATGTTCTTTCCCGGTCATTATAACCACGGGACACATACTTCGAAGCTGATATTTAGTGCTGGTGACTGAAAAAAAACACAAAATGATTCATGAATCCTTCGCTGGGGATACATTCCTTCTCATTTTAGCCAACTTTACATTGTCTTTATTCTAACTTACAGGAATGGGGTTAGAATGTCAGTAAGAATGTGCTATGTACCCTGTCTGTGTGTAAAGGTCAGAAGCAGTTAGGCCTTGGAGCACTGTAGGAGCTTCATTCTGCTGTGACACTGGTGGGCTGCATATGCAGGCCTTGCTGCTGTCCCCTTCCCATCTCTGGGGACCAACCCTGCATGAGTTAAGGGAGCTGTACGACACAGTGGGCGAGTCAGAGAACCAAACAGAAAGAACCCCATGTTTGCAGCTGCTCACTATTTAAGTCACACAAGTACCTCATTAAAGTGAATTTTCTGTGTGCATCTCTGACCTTGGCCAGCAGCTCATGTGGATTAGGCTGCTCCCTAATTGATGGCTACTCAGTGACTGGACTCTTGCTCTGGGGGAGGCCTTGCCTATATGCAGCCGCTTTAGTGTGCTTTCAGAGTAGCCTTTTGTTGTCTGTGATGGTCTTTCTTTCCCTTTGTCCCAATTCCAGACTGACTCCAAAGAAAGACATGAAAGTGGGAGAGGTCCTTTAATGCCCATCAAGCATAATTCCTGGGCTCCTCCCTGGTTAATTAAAAACAGATCTACTTTACCATTGTGCTGATTCATTCACACAGGTGCTCCTTAGCTCAGGTTTGTAGCTTCTGTTTTTTACTGAAGCTCCTGCTGTCTGAGGGCAGTGCTAATGTATAACAATGTAATCCTAATGTTTCATTCTTTTTCCTTGTGTACAGCATGAGGACTTGACCCTAGCACTGCATGCATGAACTGCCATTCAGTAACCCCTAGCTATCACCTCAGTGTCGTCCTCAGTCTTGGGGATCCCCCTTGTTTCTTTGTCTCTGGCCTGCACAAAGTCAAGTTTATAACAGATGATGTCATCCTGACGCTCTTGTGCCTATAGCTCGATGTGCTGGACGGAGTCCTGAAGGTGGTGACGTCTCCAGATGGCCAGGCTTCAAAGACACAGCCCGAGGAAGGTGAAGACAGCTTGGGCTCAGCCAACCTGGTGGAGCAGCTAGACACTGAGGAACCAGAACAGTCCAAGCTTCCCCGATACCTGGAGCGGTTTCAGGTGATTCTTAGTCGAAATTGAGCCATTTCCTGCATCAGTCTCACACAAACAATCAAGAATTGCGGTTGTATTGTTTCCCACAGGCCATGGCCTTTCACAAAAACCAGTGGAATTTTTTTTGATTTCATGCTTGAGCTGATCAGTCACAGTTCTGTTCCCTGGGGCAGCCTGGCATTCCCAGTGGTCCCTCATTGGTGCTTGATGGGTAGATGAAGTCTTCTATTAACAACAGCCTGATTCCCACTCAGTGGAAAGTGACCGGTCATTTCTCTACAGTACACCAAGTGTGCTGTATCAGACACCCAGTTAGACATTAGTCACACTTTCAGCAGAGATAAGATTCAGGCATCCTTTGTGGCTCTTGCCTGACAGCTTTGTGCTATTCAGCAGGGCCATTAGAGATGCTGCCTGTGGGCAGGTTTCCAAAACAGCACTGAGCTCTCAAACTGGCGCAGAGCTCTGTGTCACAAATGCTCTGCTGTCCGTGTCAGGGAAGACAACCCATGAGCCTGCTCTCTGCGGTGTTTCTTGTCTCTTTAATACAAAAAGAAGGAAGCACTTTCAGGTTATGACGTCATTATAGGAGCAGGAGAATTTCCCACCCACACCAGCTGCTCCTCTGTACCTTTCCACAGCAGGCAGGAGAACTGGACTCTTACCCGTAAGTCTGGCTCTTCTGAACCAGCAGTGGCAAGCCTTCCCTTAGAACAGGATCCCACTGTAGTTTAGGCAGTTGTCTCTCCCCAGTACTTCTGTAAGGGAAGCCATTGCTTAGCTTCTCTCCGGTAATTTGAAACTAAGAATAAAAAGATTAATGTTCCTATCATACTCCAAGAACAAAGCAGAGTAGAGAACTGATACACAGTCCTTTCTCTTAACTTTGCCTGTCAATGTATGCAACTTAAAGAAAAAAAAATATCACCACACTCATGCTGCCTAAGGTTGCTGAGCCACTGTCAGCTGTCAGTTTTGACTGGCTTTTGTACATTGCAACTCAGAGGATGGAAACCCGTGCCTTCACTAACTTCCAGCCCTCGTACTTCCACAGGACACTTTCTGAGAATTCAGGAAAGAACAGAAATGAATGTCTGTAGCCTGCAATCTGTGACCTTAGCTATGTTAGCAGCTGCAACCTCCCTCCCCCCATTTCCTTGATCCTCACAGGAGGCCTGGGTGGGAGAGTCTCGCTTTACAGGACAGAGCACTGAGTTGGGATTTGGACAAAAGTCAACAGCCTCACAGTTGAGATTCCCTGGGTATCTCTTTGGCCTCAGACTACCTGGAAAATTATGTCAGAAAGAAATTGTTTTCAGTTTACATAGTCTTCCTGTTGCCTGATTTTCATTAGTCTGAGGTAATCTGTTTAGGTCTGTTTTTATAATTAGACCTCAGTCTGCTCCTTGCATCTCATTGGTCTGGTCCCCTTTTGCCATTCTGCCTGGCCAGATCTGATTCTGTACACTAAGTCACCTCGGGGTAAGAACACATGTACAGCTCAGATGCAGCTGGGCCCTAAATGTTGCTCTCTGGTGAGCTGCATCTTGAAACACTTAAATAGATTAATGCTTTTAGTACATATTCCGGAATACTGCACTGACCTACCAGGCTGCCATCTCAGATGGAGCTTTATGCAGGCAGGAGGTAAGGGCTGACCTGTGGGGGAGCACAGCAGGTGGAGGACTACAATGCTCAGTCACTCCAGAAAGCTGTTTAGCATTAGTGACAAATCCCTGAAATGATTTCCATCTGTTGAAAGGAACCAGGGGAAGTCACTTAAATGAAAAGGCAGGTTTCAGAGTCCCGGCTGCCATCTTGATTGCATCCTCCTGCTCAGTTAGGAGCGGGCCTGAGTGGAGACCTTGTGGCTTAAGTAAGACCTGAACAGGAGGGAAGCAGGGCATAGAGGAGGGCAAGTGTGCTTGTGTGTTGAGCTGGGGGGTCGCGTGTGCTGGGCTGCACTGTGCACACCTAGGTTTAACAGCTGAGCTGGGGAACCAGCAAGGGGCAGCTGCAGCTGGAGAGGTGTAGGGCACCTTTTCCTGCAAGCAGATGGCGCGGCTGTTTAGCGGAGGACTCAGTTGCTCTCACTGCCCTCTTTTCTCCTGCCTGTCCCTTACCTTTTCTTTTCCCATTGCTTCCAACAGGCCTCTCTGTCTAAACTGCAGGAGCTGAACAGAGTTGAGTCCGAAAGTCTTTTGACTCTGACCACCCAGCTTGTAAAAGAAAAGCTCCCCGCCTGTGAGGCTGAGGACCTGGCCACTTATGAGCAGAAACTTCGTGAGTGGCACCTGGAGCGGATGCAGTTGATCCAGAGGGAAGAGGAACAGAGGGAGAAGGCAAAGCAAGAGTACCAGGCTCTGAGCGCATCAGAGAAGGCAGCCTAAAGTGCCCCAGGCCACCCCAGCGTTCCGCCAGGACAGGATAGGGCTAGGCCTCTGCTGTCCAGTTCCTCTTCTTACAGGAAGCTGTGCTGTGTGCTAAGACACTGTCTGCCCTTCTAGATGTCAAGGGCCAAGGAACCAAGAAAGTGGCAAACAGTTGGGCTGAAGCCACCAGCTAAATCTCGTATAGGGGCTGTCAAGGCTCACAGTGGAGTCCTGAGTACAGACTGTGGAAATATCGGGTGAGCATGAGGGGAAGCTGTAGCTGAAGAATCAGGTCTGCAGCACAGGTGTTTGAATGATTCCCTGGCCCCGCCCACGTACATGGAACAACAAGCTTCAGGTGCTGATGTTGGTAAACCGAGGACCACCTGCATTCCAGAACCAGGTGCCCTTTAGCCCACTTCCAGTGACTCAGCACGAGTGGCCACAACATGACCGGCCATCGGATGTGACACATTTCCACTGGTAACACTGGTCTCATATTCTCCCTGTGCATATGCGCCATATAGTAAACCTTTATAAAGCTTGCAGCTTCATGGCCTGCCCCCTGCCCATCCCTCCTCAGAGGCAGCCTTTTGAATACCTGCCTCCCCAATAAATCTTTCCCATGTGGTCTGTTGCGTGGTGTGATTTTGTGATGTTCCTTGGCACTCTGGTCACCTCAAGAAACCTTACACCTGAGACCTTGTGCCCATAGTCCCCCTCATGAAGGCAAAACAAACATCCTGGTGATCTGGCCTGCATGCTCACACAGTCCCACTACCTCTTTCCCATCATGCCCTGCCCTTCTCTTTCCCGTTTGGGAGAAGCCCAGCACAGAAGGTCTCCAGACCACAAGCTCACTAGATTTCTGACTACAGGTATCCACAGTGACACTTACATAATGTAAAAGCTTTGGGGGAGAAACTTGGCCCAGAGTGTGAAACCCTTATGCCATGACTTCAGCATATCGGGATAACTTTCCACACATTGTCAAATATGTAAATGAGCCTTGGTATGCGTGTATGTGCATAGACAACTTTAGAGCAGACATTTCTATTAAAGGAGAGAATGAAGAGAGGATGGTGTTAAACCTGAGAATTGCAAAAGAAATACCAGTTCCACAATTTTTGAGCCAAATTTGAAGTAATCTTTAATACTAGCCAAGATGATGGGCTCTGGCCAGAACCATTCCAGAGTTCCTAGAAAATAGAAAGTCACATTTTGCTAAGGCTTATAGAGGCATACCCACAAGGCTACTGCATTTCCCATCAGGTCCAATCAGGGACAAGCATACATCCTGACATACTTCCTGCCCACGTACATCCCGCCCACATGTGATCAAGCACATCTGGTGCAGATGGGACAGACAAACATAGGACAAACAGAAACTTCTGTTTAACTCTCTTAACTGCAAACAGAACCATTAACCTGAAAGGCATATTGTTCCTGTCTTGGTCTCCTATTAACTTGTTAGGTTTATTGTTCTTATTTCTGTTTTTGGAACAAGTGTGTAGGTGATAGAATTCAGTGCAAACTGTCAGAAGATGTGATATTCCGGGAAACCTCTCTGGGAGAGGGTCAGGGGACTTCGGCCTGCCATGTAATGTTGCCTTTAAGTGCCATGGGACATCTTTATTCAAGATTGTACCCTTTTATCAGAACGTATAGAAAGAAAGACATTAAAATAATTCCAGAAGATTTCTGTCTGAGGAAAAGGAGAAAGAGGGTCTTGTCTTTCTCGTTATTTTTACTGTTTGGGGCAGCAGTTTTAGCCCTCCTCTGTCAGACTAGGACAGGTAGTGGTGACAATCTTTACTCACAGTCCTCACAGACGTCTTGAAGGAGTGCCATCATCCCATGCTATAGGAAGGGAGATAAAGCTGAGGACCTCCGCTGAGCTCAGTTGCTGCTGCCCCAGCCTGCACTGTGTCCTCCAGGTGTAATCTCAGACAGGGTCTTCCAAGCTGGCAGCATTGACAGGGAGAGGTCATCACAGACGTCAGGTCTGGTATTCAGATTATCAGAGGCAGGGTTTTCTCCATGATAGATCTGGGATCAATCCAGTGACAACCAAGGATGTGTATTGTTGTCGAAGCATCTTGTTTATTCGTGGGCTCTTAATTTTGCCTTTGTTCCTCTTCCCTTTATACCCCTGTTGCAGTCCCAATCCTTGCTCAGAGAGAGGACATTCCTGTCCTAGTAGGAGCTTGCAAACTTCCCCCCCCCTTAGAATCTTCTGTGACAGTGTCCCCTTCCTGATAACTCTCGGCTTTCCAGTCTGTTATCCCTTACCCATGCACCTGTCTCACTGAGGCTCCTGCCTGTAGCTATCCTCTGTTCCTTCCACTGATGTCTCTGCCTGAGAGAATCGGGGGCAGACTGTCTGAAGTATTTGAACTGAAATGCCTGTCTGCTTTTATCTCATACCATGAACCCTGTTGAAGCAGCTTATCCCCTGCAAACCCTTCATCTGTACCCTGTCACCCAAACTTGATCTTCAGAATCTGGGTCCTTACTTGCTTCCCTACAACCTAGACTCCATGGTAAGCCCAGGAGAAGCCTGATGTTTCTATTAGCATCTTTTCTTCCTTCCTACTTTATTTGGGCCTACTTAGCATCCATGGGCCTACATCTGGAACAGTCTTAACTATATCCTCTAATTGTAGCCCTAAAGAATCTAGCCTTAGTTGGGAATAAGGCCTTTTGTGGAGGGTATCGTATTAAAATGAGATTAGTAATCCACTAAGACTAGCGTTCTTTAAGGAGGGCACTGTAAATGCAGAGACAGGAGAAAGGAATGGAAGGAAGGAAGAGGGTGACTATGGTAAGTGGAGCAGCCACACGCTATAGGAGGCCCAACAACCTCCGAGGATGGACGAAGCAAGGGAAGAGTTTCTCCTGGAGCCTTCAGACAGCTCAGCCCTACCATGACTGGACTCCAGACCTTGAACTTCCAGAATATTCCATCAACTTCTAAGCCCCTCAATGTTGGGTTCTTCTAACAGTAGCCTTGGGCGTAACTGATATATCATGATTGGTTTTCTTTTTGTTTGCTTCAGAGGTAGTGTCAGTGTACAGAGTAATAATTTGACGCTAACTGAATTCCTCTTCATAGTTATGGCTGTCCTCTGAACTCATTGGTCATGTGGTTAGTGTCAGACTCATTTTGACCTTAGCAGCCTCGCCACTCCAAGTGAGCCCAAGACGCTTTCACCATGAGAACCGAGGAGATGCCTCCTGCTTTGTCAGGAAAATGGGGCCACATCACATAGCCATGACCCTTCTGGACCCCTCACAGTATCCTACCCCCTGTCATTTCTACATCTCCACTCAAGTGATACCTTTCTATTCTCTTCCTCCTTGACAAGGAGGACTCATTCATAGCCTCCATCTATACTTGCTGATGCTTCTGGGACCACTGGGAATCCCATTTCCCATTTCTACGTGGCATCATCCCTACTGACTTCAGCCATCTAGGTCCGAAGTCTGACTCCAATCCCCTTTTATCCCTCCCATCATTAATCTAGCTCCACCTTCCCCTCCCTTATGTCAGCAAACGGCTTGAGAATGTGGGTGCTGACCAGCTGGTGGCTCATTGGTTAGCCCTGGGGAATTTGCCTCTTGGCCTTATCAGTCCACAGTACAGCATAGTGTTTCTTCAACTACAAAAAATTACTTCTTGGTGAACTTCTCCACTTGGCCCCACCGACCACCATCTGATGAACTTGTGCTCTGCCTCACACATACTCTGCACAGTTATTTGTTCAGCATGTCTGTATGCATCGCACTATGATAAATGCTATGGAACAGGCAGAGGTGAGTAATACAGATGCTACCTTCAATGAATTTAGGTTCAGGGGGCTGGAGATGGCTCAGTGCTTAAGAGCATACATAGGCTGCTCTTCCAGAGGACCAGCCAATGTCCAGTTTCCAGCACCCACATGGTCACAGCCATCTCCAATGCCAGTTCTAGGGAATCTGGTGCCCTTATCTGGCCTCTTTGGGTAGTCAGGCACACATGTGGTACACAGACATACATGCAGACAAATACACATTAAGTAAAAATAAACCTTTAAAATTAACACCATTCTAGAGGCAGAGGGGGCTGGCTACCCACATCTGTCAACACAGAGCTAAGAAGTATGAGGCACAGGTACAGTGATGGGGAGCTATAGAAGAGCCCGGCAGGCTGGAAGGCAGAAAAATACTAAGGATGTATTTTCCTTATGTGCTATGTGCTTTGAATTAGCCCCCCAGGTGCCACAAGCTGTCATGTGTACATGGCCTTGTGGGTACAGTCTTGTACAGAGTAAAATGTGCTCTTGGGTGGGAAAAAAAAAAGCATTTTAAATTGAATGAAAATGAGCAGAGTGGGCTAAACCTATTAGAGCCTATAACTGTAGCGGGAAGGGAGGAGCTAAGATAGGAAAGGAAGAGGAGGAGTAAGGAGAGGAAGAGGGGGAGGAAGAGGAGGAGCGAGGTCAGAGATGTAAGAGGATGGAGAGCCACACAGGTATGGAGAGCAGTCCTGGGTAACAACTTATATTTAGGTTAGTTAATTGGAAAACACCTCTAATTGTACGGGCATATTGTTATTGAGCATTACCAAACATATAAAGCCTTTGATTGATTAATATTTAAGCACTAGAGTCTCATTTCCTACCGAGCCCGCGTGAATGATGGGATGGTCTGGGCACAGCCCAGCTTTGTGGAGACAGTGTGGAAGATTGGCAGAGCCATCTCCCACACTGGGATCTTGTGGGTGGCAGAGCCAGTGTCTCTGGCCACCTGAGCCACGGCAGCAGCAAGAGCACTCCGCTGCTAGCTCATGGCGGCAGACCTAGGCTAGTTGGGAACATGGTGGCTGATTAAGAAAAGCCAGATTGAATGCCGCTGGTGTTACATATCTCCCGCAACATATAACCTATTCACCTTACAAAAAAACCAAAAAAAACCAAAAAAACAAAAAAAAAAACAAAACCAACCAACCAAACAAACAAACAAACAAACAAAAAAACAGGGAAATACAAGTGCTTTATGTCCTCTCCTTAGGGCTTTGTTGGCACCAACCTTGGCCTTGTGTTTAAATGCCATTTACCAGGCTATAGATATCTGATACAGTGGGACAATTGCAGATTGTGAGTGTGGGTATATGCCATATGTTCTCCTTCATGTGTGTGTGCACACATGTGCATGTGGAAACCAGAAGCTGTCAGTCATGCTCTCTCACTGAATATCAATTCAGTTAGGCTGGCCATTGAATTCAAAGCATTGAGGATTCTCTCTTTCTCTCTCTCTCTCTCGCTCTCTCTCTCTCTCTCTCTCGCTCTCTCTCTCTCGCTCTCTCGCTCTCGCTCTCTCGCTCTCTCGCTCTCTCGCTCTCTCACTCTCTCTCTGCCACACACATACGCACACACACACACACACACACACCACTGGAGTCACAGATGTAGATCTTATTGAGTGACTTAGATTGTGACTCAGGTCTCCATGCTTGCATAGCAGACACTCTACCCACTGCACCATTGGGCCAACCCAAGGTTGTAAGAAATCGCCGGTGGCCTTGAAAAGTGAACAGATTTTAGCTCCTTTTTACCTTGACTGAAAACCTCCAGCTCTGACTGCCTCCTGGTTTTGCTTTCAATACTGATAACACAGTGTGCTATTTTTAAATTTTTTCTACTGCAGCTGTATGATGCCCATTGAGGAATCCTTCACTACTGTGTATAAGGCTCATTTTTAGACGCCTATGTCATTTGGGTCACCCGGGTGTGGGTGCAGTCACAGGTTGAGGTGTAGGCAGGTGTGCCTGAGAAAGAACACAGGATGTGGAAGTGAGCCTGGCAGAGACACACCCTCCAAGGGCTGTCCCCACCTGCTGCTGATGCCCAGAGATGCTCAAGGCTCTTCCTCATAACCAATGCCGGGGACCTGAGGCTGGGACTCTATCCCTGCGACATTCTGATGGCTCTGAGTGCTATGCTTCCTCTGCCTCTGTGGACTGTGACCCTCTGCTGGGTCTCCTGGCTTCCTGTGATGTGTGCACTACTCTAACAGGCCCATTTTCCTGAAACTGAGTCTGTAGTTCCTGGCATACCAGAAAAAGTGGGTTAGGGGTTTCAGTTCTGCTCTGCGTGGCTCTTCCCTATCTCTGGGCTCTTCTGACTGGTTTGGTAGGTAAGGCAGTTTTGTTATGTAGCTCAGGCTAGCCATATGCTCATGATCACCCATCCTCTGCCTCGTAAATACTGAGATAGCACATATGAGCACCAGAGAAATGGGTACCATTTTGAACCAAATGGAACCACTGAACAAAAGAGAATATTCATTTTGATTTCCTCCTGACCCTGCTCCCCGCTGCCATGGGGTTGAACCCAGGGACCCACCCTTGTTCCTCTAGGTTCTTATGAACTATCCTCAGGGTGAGTTTGCCACACCCCTTGGAGTGTTAACCCCTCCCCATTTTATTCTGAATGAATTCCCTGAACTCATCAGTGGCACTGGACTTTAGATTCTACAAAGACAGGGGCTCTTACCTTTTCAATTACTGTATCCAGAGAACAGTCATCAGTGTGAGGAAAGCACTTATATTTATTTATTGAGGAACATTTTCTCTAAGATTGAAAGTCTGGGTACCGGGCTGTATCATTCTCTCAAGAGAATGCCCCACAAGGAAACCTCTGTGGGTGATTCAGACCGAGTGAATTTTGTCAGATAGGTGTTTTATGGAAAGGGAGGACATATCAGAATTATCACTGACTCAATTGTATCCTACTTATCTGTCTCCAAGCAGACAACTAGGAGGTGAAGACGCTAGACACCTGCACCACTTTCCCAGCAAAAGCTTGCATTTATCGATTGTTCATAGCCAAGTGGCATATTAAACGCTTTACAAGCATTGTTGTATGTAATCCCTAAGAACGTGGTGAGAATTCTTACAGCTGTGCTTCACACGACAAAAAAAGGAGATCTTAGAAAAGTGCTGAAGCACTGAAGCCTCTCTCGGTGGGCTGGAGGGCCGGAGTCAAGTCCGATCAGAACTGGCAGGACACGCATGCACGGATGCACCCACCTGCATGCAAACACACACACACACACACACACACACACACACACACCCCCCCGCGCGCGCGCGCGCGCGCGCGCTAGAAGGCAAGGACTTCGATGAAGTGACCCCCAAGAAGGCACATAAAGAGGGAAAAAGTTCCACAGGGAAAACCAACAGGGAATGCTCAATGAAGTGGGGGCAGGGTGGTCTCAGTCCTGCTGCGGACGCTCTATGAGTCCAGTGTGTACCAGAGCTTTCACCAAGGGGCATGGCAGTCAAGAACATATGTATGAACCCCATTCCTTCACTGGCTAGTGACACTGCTAACCTCCTCCTGGCATATTACCACAGCCCTAGGTGTGAGAGCGAGACCCACCCATCGCCTGTGGCAGCTCTCTATGGGAGCCTGGGGTAAACTCAAGGCTGTGCTTATCCCCCCACCCCGAATAATTTCCCTCCAGGGCACTTTTAGAAATGTTTGTTGGTATTTTTGACACTCAGCTGAGGGGCTGCTATTGGGATCTCCTGAATAGAGGCCAGGAATGCTGTTAAATATCTCAGAGGGCACAGGAGAGTGTACTGTCACGTACCCCAAGAACCCCCTAGTCCAAAATATTAATAGTTCAGAACCCTTGGCTAAGACCTATGGCCAGGGTACCCATGGGACTTCCTGAAGTGATAGAGATTAAACTAGGAGGGCAGTAGAGGTTTTCTTTTCTGACTGAATATGCATATGAAATACACATAGCAGGAACATCACTATTCTTTCTGAACACGATTCCTCAAGGAAATGGGCAAATGGTGACTTACACGAATGTTCCGCCCATGTGTAACTAGGCTAGAAGTCTAGAGTTCTCAAATGAAGATGCTGTTGCATTGACCACGGGAGTGAGGGGGCGTGGGATTCTGTGGACAATATCCTGACTGGGTGTGGCTGAGAAGAGGTAACTCACGTCTGAAGTGGCCTCAGCTTTGGCTTTAGTGAATCATAGCAGCAGAAAATGTGATGTGAACGTGAACTGACAATGATAAATATTGTAAAATCCCACTTTATAAACGAGGGCCATGAGGAAGGCTCTCCAACAGTGTAAACCTAGAAGCTTGCCTTGTAGTCTAGCAACTTCTGAGCTCAAAAATAACCTTTTCCCACTCTGATTTGGCTTTTGCTTATGGCCCAAGATGCTTTTGCCTGTGCAATATTGAGGAAGTTAAGAAAAAATAATTGTGGCAATGCTCCTCAGACCATGTCAATAAAATATGTTTAAATATTTACTTTAAGCAAGGTCATTACTTATGTCATGTGCTTATTGAGAGGGGTACACACATTAGATTCCAGATCTGCCCTTGACATGTTCAGAAAACAGGGAGTTTATTCTTGTCAAACACATCTGGAAATAAATTCCATTATGAGATTTAAATTATGAATCAAGGGCTGTGGAGAAAATCTATATAAGATTTATAAAAAGAAACTGTCTTTTGATTACCTAATGGTAGAAAAGCATTTGCTCCTCCCCCCCTTCATCTCCAGAGTTCAAAATATTAATCCTTAAAACACCCTAAGGACAGTCTACGACATGAAGGTTCTCCCCGTATGCTAGGTCACTGCTGGGGTGCGTGCCTCCAGGGTGTGGCTCATCAGCCATCAAATGCCCACTTGGTTACAAACATCGTGTTCAGAAGTCTCTTTCTTGTGGGCACACAGTCCCTCCCCTGAGGAGCTATTGGCTTGACTATAAAAGACACGGAAAATAAGTTGCAAAAATCAGCTGGGGCCCTCTTGGCTGATCACTCATAGCCAGGGAGCCCACCATGAAACACGTGATCCTGGAGGCTAAGGCCAAATGACAAAGGAGCCAAAGATGTCTCAACACACGAGTGAACTTTTGCCACTTTGTATTTTATTGTGGAACTGAGTTTCTGTTTTTTTTTTCCTTTACATCAAATATCCTCGATAGAAGAGGGGATATTGCACACAAATATCATAAAAGCACTACATATTACTTTCACTGGAAACTAATTTTTCTACATTAGATATGACTGGATAGGATGGAAGTGATGCAGGATAAGACATAATACCATACACAGCTTCAGACCGACACAAACACCATTCAGAACGAGAGAGAGAGCGAGCTTCTCCACAGCCGGGCTTACGACTGCACGCTGCCTGCAGGCGCATGCGGGAAAGCAAGGACCGTGGCAATGCGGGCGGGCGGCAGAGCCACTTCTCCAGGGCTCCAGTTTCGGGAGCTCCACACTGCGGAGAAGCCGATTATTAGCTGTTGTTTTCCTTCCTTTTCAGTTTTTGATGCTGCCTTTGAAATGAATTCATAAAGTCCCGGTTTTGGTTTTTGTTTTCTTTGAAATAGTGAATAGTTTTAATACCAGAGGAATAAAACCTAATTGCTACCAAAGCGGTGCTCACCCCTGGGCTGCTTTTGGTGTGTTGTTCAGCTGGTTAAATGATAAAAGCTTACAGTTCCTCTCACGTGGAAACAGAATCGTTTTCTCCTAAATCTGAAGTATGAAAGGAAAAAAAAAGAAGAAGAAGAAGAGAAGGAAGGTCATTGTCCTAACTCACAAATGTCATTGCCAAGCAGGGACCTCCTATGACAAATGACAGAGGAGGTGCAGGAAAACAACTCTGGAATTGTAGCGCCGCTCCAGGAGCTAAGATTTGTAACAGAAATGGGAGGTGGTAAAATTTCCATTAGCAAATGATTAAATTTATAAAATGAGTATTAGAAAGCTCCTAAATTTCATAAGCTATTGGAAACACTTAAAACATTCATATACACTGGGGAAACCATTCACTATGATAATGTAACGTTAAGAAAAAAATTTTTTTCTTTTGAATTCCATGGAAAATGGTGTTTGGGGCGAGGGGTCGGTCACTGTGTCCAGTCCCATCACAAGACTGAGAAAGCATGCATGGGGGTCGGGGTTTGGAAAAAGAGGACAGAATTAGTTAAAATTGAAATGGAGGATTATCTCTAAGATTTAGTCTCTGTAGAATTTTGTTTACAAACACTACCAAAAAGGTCATGATCAGGAGTGCTAGCTCAATAGAATTCCATCATTTAAACAGGGTGGAAACGCCTTCCACTCAAATATTCAATCTATACAATTGGATTAAGAATCGTATGCACAAATCTTCTCGAAGTCTGTGTCGGTTTTAAGCTCTCACCACAAATGTACGCAGTCCATTGTGGTGGCTACCTCTAAACTAATTGTGTATGTATGGAACTAGCAAGATCAGATTAGCCACACAGGTAGGAGAGGTGCCTGGGAGGTCAGGAACCACCCATAAAGCAAATGGACTTTACCCTGGTGTCCTCGGCTCTGTAGCCATCATGGAGGACAGGGGGTGCAGGAGGGTGCTGTCAGATTGTGTAGGAATCAGAGCCAGTGGATCAGTGACAGTTTTGAAAAGTATTTTCCCCATTAGACTCTCTAAAAACAATAAGAAGTATGGGGTCGAGTGGTTACAACTGAAGGCTGGCTATGGCTCTTCTAAGGTATTTATATTTTTTTAAACAAAATAATATAAAGGCTAAATAAATTTAAGCTAGAAAACTGGAAAATAACTCTCCATCTTCTATGAAAGAAAAGTCAACCAGAGGTCTGGATTTGGCAAGAAGGCTAGAAACTGTTTCTCTTTGTGTGCATTACGTGGACCAACCCAACAGCTACCATTAAGTCACTAGCTTGTGTGTATTCAGCTTGTCTGATGACATGAGAAGCAGAGGAGCTTACAGTCAATGAAGTCCGTTTTCATCACAATGACTTTTCCATCAGATAGGACGTTTTTGTACCTTTAATGTGTCACTTTTACGGGTTTGAAAGAAATAGGATAATAAATAAAAGCTGCATTCCTAGAGACACCTAACAAAAATAGAATATTAACTTTCTTTAAAAAATTAAACATTTGGGAAATGTGATTCACAGCATTAAGTAGACTGCATGGGTCCTCAGTGAGGGAACCCTGGAGAAATATTGTTTAAACCCTCAGAGTAAATAGCAGTGCGAAACAGATACTTCACAGACGAAAATAAACTAAAATGTCAATTTTGAAATAAATAACTAACATAGAAAATAAAATGAGGTCCTTGTTCACTACCCCGTAGATCTGCAGAAGACGTAGTGTGACCGAGCACAGCACAGCTGTCACTGAGAGGTTTGCCACCTCTGAACCCTGGTACACGGATCTGCTGCTTGAAACTTGGCGAAAGTTTTCCTCATGATCTGTCGTCTCAAGTCTGTGGTTCAGTGATGACAGCGACGGACGTTATGTTGAACTCTCTACATGGTGAACATAGGAGTTGAGAATTCATTTGTTTTCAATCTATTATTTCTTTCACTGAATGTTTTCCAGAAAAGAAAACCCCCAAGCAAACTGGTGCTGGGGTGCTTCTGAACTTGGCTCCTTTACCTCATGGTGAATAATCTTGAAAGGAGGAGGGGATAACACTGGGTGATACCCTGAACAGTAGCCTACCCTGCCTCCTACTCACTCCCAAAAAGCACAGACTCACACTTTCACGGTATGAGAGTCGAAGGGAGGTACCACCGTTTCCGGTAGTGACAGGTTTTTAAATAAATATCACAACTTCAATATCAGACTTCAAATCTTGCCAGAACCTCAAAAAACTTCAATTTTTGTCTTACAAAAACACTTAAAATAATAATTAAAAAAAGACCATTGCTTCAAATTTTTCTTTGCTTTTTCCTGTAAATGAAAACATTTGTTAAAAAGTTCATCTATGAAAAGTCCTCACGTAGCTAAAAACAAAAACAAAAACAAACAACTTCTGTACATGTGTTCCCATGTGTTGAAATTAATGGAAAATTAAAATAGCCAATGTAAGACAAAGGAAGGCAGATACTATACACTTGCTGAGAACCTCTTCCACCGTAAGATTCACTGTCTTCCTGGTTCTGATCATAGAAGCCATTTCAGTCTTGAACTTGAAGCATTAAAGAAGCTAAGAAAGGTGCAACTTAATTGGCTGAGTGGCCACGGGTTCATCAGAAGTGGTGATGTTCACCAAGCATGACTCTGCACTAAACCATTGGGCCAATCAGATGAGCTTCTGGTACTTTCCCTCCCCACATGCTCCTTTACCTGGAGTATCTACAATCCTACATGGATGCTTTAAAAACTTGCTGTCTCACATTAAAAAATAAGTGCATCGGGTATCTTTGTACATTCAAGTCACTTCCTAAGGCAAAATGTCTCCCGTGTGTACTCCCAACTGCTTTGGTATTTGCTTCAGTTAACTGGGGTGGACTTGGGTGTTGCTGCATGCAGGTTGACTTGGTGTGGACTTAGGTAGACAAATGCTGGGAGCATGCCTTAGATCAACCTACTCGTGTGTTTGAAAAGTCTGAGAGTTCTGAATGGGGCTCAAGTCACTCGCTTGTCCGGTCTACACTTGCTACATTATGCCGTGTGCAGCCTTTATAGCAAAGGCATATGAATTAAGGCGTGAAAAATCTCATGCCCTCGTAACAGGCTTCTTTCTTTCTGTTCTTTAGAAACATGCTTTAGGAGATTAAGACTCTTTCTGATGACTCTGATGATAATGGAAAACTCCACCTGTGTAGACCACAGAATAGCTGTGGTCTGAGAAATGCAGACCTAATTGCTGGTGTCTTCTCTATGCCCCATCCTGCCCACTCCCTCTCCCTGGGCATCTCATCAGAACTCTCCACCTTTGTCTCTTGCATCCTTTTTCTTTCCGATTCTTCCTCTCTCACTCTCTCTCTCTCTCTCCTGCAGTCTCTTTGTCCCTCTCTCTCACTTCTCTCCCTCCCCTCCCGCTGACTCTCTTTCCCTCTCTCTTTCTCTCTCTACGATAAATGCCAATACCTAGCAGAAGTCAGTTGGGTGCGCGAGTGCATGGCTTCCGAATGTTCAGCAGAGATGAACGGGGGGTAGGTAATTCTGCAGTAACTTGAAATCTATTGTGGGAATATGGTTACTTCCCTTAGCGGTCGGCAAAAATTGAGCGGTGACTTGCATCACCGTGACACAGTATAGCATCTGGCAGGTAATTGTTCAGTGACTTAATTAGATGAATGGACGTTTTAGAAAAGGTAGTTTCAAATTCAAGAATTTCTGGAAACACAGTTCAAATCCTGTGGTGAGGGCCGGCTGTGGTTTCTACAGTTCTATCTTGCATGCAGGGAAGGACTCGTCTTGCATGACCACTGTACTACTGCTTGCTAAGACCATGATGTTGAGGTCCTGCTGCTTCTCATGGGTCTCCTGGTACCACTCCCTCATCACCTCGGAGTCATGTGTTGGGATCAGAGTCACCTACAGAGGAAGAGAAAAGATGTTCAAAGAGCAGCAGGGATAGATGCCAGGAGTAAAAACAGAACCAGGTGTCTGTTGGATCACTAGCAAAAGGGAACAAAAGAAAAAAATGCTGTTTTCCCTGGAAATTGCCAATGAAGTTTCCAACCAAGCTGTAAAAATTAGAAGGTTTTTTTTTCAATTATTTATTTTTTTTGGGGGGGGTCACTGAGAGGAGGAGTTGGAGCCTAGAATCTGACTCACCTAGGAACTTGTAGTTCATTCATGTAAATTTCACCGATGGTTTCTGAATGCAGTAGTGTTGAGAACTATCTGGGTTAGGTATCATTTCTCATGTTTCCATTAGCATGGGGCATATGTTGTACAGACTACACTCCATACTGAATGTAAGAGGTTTTATACTGTAGCTCAAACCCTCAGAAGCTTACCCGTTGGCCTGAAAACATAGACTGTGGGCTGTTGGAGTGGAGGACTAATCAGTACTTCTCATGTGAATACTGTGGAAGTACTAGAAAGCAATCTCATGGAAGATGTGAGCACAGGCTGCGAAACCATAAATCAGATAACCAGTGATCAGAGCCCAGTACAAACATGGAGACTGGATGGTTTTTAGCCAGCCCTGAGGGGCCGGAGCTTACTAATACCCTGAGAGACAATGGCACCACTCTAGAATTCCACCTGGAGACTCGATCCTCACATACCTTGCACAGTGACTATGTTCCTAGCTTTAGTCTACTGCTGAAATACAAATGAGAAAAGACAATTCCTTAGTAGCAATTCCACAGGCTCGGGACAACTTTGATTCATACATACAATACTCAGAATGGGGGGGGGGAGCAGCAGGGGTAGGGACAGCAATTCATTTTAGGTTATTTTATCAATGCATTGGACTGCCTCCACTGCCACTAGTGAACCTGTCAAGAATGTCACCTTGGGCTATCTTCTGTATGTTAAACTGACCTTTTATTTGAACTTTTATATGAACTGCAAATTCCTAGCTGATTTAGATTCTAGGCTCCAACTCCTTCTCTCAATGAGGAAAAAAAAAAACCTTTTAATTTTTACAGCTTGGTTGTAGTTCCTGGAAAAGATCAGTTGAAGACTTCACTGCTATATTTCACATGCAACAGGCACCACACGTGGGTCCGCCATCACAGAGACGCCTGTCTAAACACGCTTCTTTCCCTTTGCCTCTAGAACTAGCTCAAGTGCAGCTCAGACATGAGCCTCATGTTCTTACCTGCATGTTGCTTCCCCACTGAGCCTTCCCTTCCAGCAAGGCATCCAGGACAGCCCGGCTGGGCTCCTCCGCGGCAGGGTCGTTCCCACTCACCACGTAGTAAGATGACCTCACTCTCTTGAAGAACTCGACATCAACGTTCTTACTGCTGCTGTGGTTGGGAATATAGCATAGGTCCAGGTACACGGGGAGGCCTGGAGGCACGGCGGACGACTTGGCCGTCTTAGTGGATCCTGACCCTTTGGTAACAAAGACAAAGCAAGGGCCATAGCAGTGTGAAGACACAGACACATCCACGGATCCCCAGCTGGGGCCTCTGGGGCTTGGAAAGGATGGTAGGAGTCCCAGTTCCCTGGCATCCCATATAGGGCCTCAAACACTAGGAAATTAACACTAGGAGAAATTATACCACGCTTCTTTATCATCTCAATAGGACACTGAGAACGAGTCACATCCCTTCGCAGACAACCCATTAGGAAATAAAAAGAGTTTCCTGGACCTTGTTTTTGTTTTTTTTGTTTTGTTTTGTTTTTAAAAAAGGGAATTAGTTCCAGGTGGTAGTGGTGCATGTCTTTAATCCCAGCACTTGGGAAGCAGAGGCAGATGGATCTCTGTGAGTTCAAGGCCAGGGTGGTCTACAAAGTGAGTTCCAGGACAGCTGGAGCTGTTACATAAAGAAACCCTGTCTCCAGAAAACCAAAAGAAAAAAAAAGGGGGGGGGATTAAATAAACTAGTACTCTTCATCCAAAGGATCTACTAATGTATATTTTAGTTTACAAAGCTCTATAAGATGGAGTCTCAACCTGTGGATCCTGATGCTATGTGGAGCTGAACAATAAACATGAATGGACCGATATGTTTTTCAACAGTAAGAAATTTCTGATCACCCATTAAAATTCATTTAAAATCGGATGTCACGATGCACGGGGTTTGTGGTCATGCTTGCAGCCTGGCTCACACAGCCACACGGCAGCCCTGGTTCTGGTCCCACAGTGTGTCTGCTGCACACTGTGTTGCTGTCCTACTGTGCAATGCAGTGGACGGTGTCTTAAACACATCACTATTGTAGAAACAGAAGAGCTGAATTATGAATTAAGGTTTCGCATAATTTTCTACCATTGCGTCAGCACGTATCACACTAGTGTGTCTTGGGATTGGCTCATGCTAGAATGTTTGATTTAAAAATAAAACACTGCTATGTGCGTTAACGACTTGAGCTACAGGGGGAACATGTTTAAGAAATTTGGGGCTAGAGCTGGGAAATAGTTTCCAACAGTTTTGGAAATGGCAAGAACCTATCTCACAAAACAAAATAAAAGTCTCAAGTCATCCCTAAGGAATGGAGACCGCTGGGTACCAGAGGCAAGTCAGGAACCATCAGACCGCTGGGTACCAGAGGCAAGTCAGGAACCATCAGACTTTCTAATTAGCTCCTGTTGAGCAGGAGTCTGAAAAATCACTGTGCTAGCAAGGCTATAGGTAGGAAGGAGAAACAGCTTTAATGTTTTCCTCTTTTTCTACTCGACAGTTATTTGTCAACTGGAATTACACTGTTCTCGAGCAGGTAAGAAAACACAACAGATGTTTCAATGGGCATATATTGCCTAAATGACAGGTTTTTTTTTCTTTTTTTCAAATATGACTATTTTTAAAATTTTACAGAAGAAATAAATATTGGGCCTAGACAAAATTCTAGGTTTGCCAGGGAACCTCTGGTTTGTCATAGGCCTTTGGGAGCTCCTGACCTATTACCCCGATGTGATCTTTAAGGTCATTAAAAAGGTTTGCGAGAGGCTTGCAGCAGCTATCCAGAATGCCACTAACCTAGCAATCCCACCAGATAGATCCCACCAGCACGGGCCACATACTCTGCTATCTCTAAGCCACACTAGGACAGGAGGTGAACCTTTAATTGAAAGAGGAAGGCGGAGGAAAGGTAGAACATCGGTCCACGCTTTCTGGTCTTCCCAGCAAGAAGACAAACAGAGGTAGACAGGCTTTCGAGTCACCCCACCTACCTGCTGTTGCAGTCTTCACTGATTTGGATGCAGAGGCATTGGCTGCGTTCTTAGTCTCCTTGTCCTTCTCTTCTCCACGTGTCGCTTTGACCTCAGGAGTGGTGGTGGTCTTTGTAGCTTTTTCCGAGGACTCTTTCTTCTTGGGAGAAGCCACTCTGGATACCTTGTCAGAGGATTCCTTCAAGGCTCCTGGTTTGGGGGAAGCTGCTGAAGGCTTAGACTTCCCATCACCCTTTTTGACAGGTGAAGAGGACTTGGTCTTTGTGCCTGGTTTCTTGGTCTTGGTCTTCTCCTTCAGGTCCTTCTTCAGAGACTTGCCTAGGTTCTGGTCAAGAGCCAAGGCCTCTGGGTCCACCATGGACACATCAGGGTGGCGAGGAGAAGGGCTTCGGTCTTGCATGGGGGCTGGAGGTGGGTCCATGTGTTTGTATGTGACGGTTTTGTCTGTGGGGATGGTTTCTGACTCATCTTCAGAATCAATATTGGCATCGGCTGTGATGGAGGGGCACTCTTCCGTCTCTGGGGGGACATCAGAGTCCGTCTGGGATGGGGCTGACTCACTGACTGAGGTGGGTGGAGTTTCGTCGCATTGTCTGCCCTGTTGTTTTCCTCCTGAAGGTGGGGGGGCTCCTCCGGACTGAGTGAGGGGCTTCTCGGATTCTTCCGTGGGCTCTTCACCAGCAAACCACTCAAGAGGACTTGGATTAATGAAGGAAGGCGAGAGCTCGGTCTTGGGATGCTTGAATTCACAGGAGGACACCAGACACAAATCAACATCCTGGCGAGCCTCTGAGGGGGACTTCTTTTCTGTAGTGTAGCATCGGTCTGGGGTCTCATAGGAGTACGTGGATGCCTGTGGGGTCTTGGTGATCTTCTCCATGGTCTCGTAACAGTATGCAGAGGTGTCTGGACTCCGGGTCGTTTTTGTAGTTGCCTCATAGGAGTAGCTCTCAGACTCAGGGAAGCTGGTAATTTTCTCAGTGGTTTCGTAGGAGTAGCTACAGTCACCAAGTGTGTGGCCACCATCCTCAGTGTCATCGTAGCCATTGCTAATGTCATCCAGGAGCCTTCTGGACCTCTCGGTCTTTTCATAGGTGTAGCCACTTACTTCAGGGGTCCGTGTCATCTTCTCACTGATCTCATAGGAATACCCACCCTCTTCAGGGGTCCGGGTGGTTTTCTCGGTAATTTCACAGGCGTAGCCACCATCTTCTGGGGTCTTGATGGTCTTCTCAATGGTTTCATAGGAGTACCCACTGTCACATGGGGATTTTATGGTTCTCTCTGTCTTCTCATAGTAGTAATCACCCACATCGTGGGTCCGGATGGTTTTCTCGCGAGATTCATAGTCATAATCTTCTTCATCTGGGGATCCAGTGGTGTTCTCGGGCTTTTGGTAGGCATAGCTAAAGTCACCGGGTGTCTTCCCTCCGCTGTCCTTCTCCACACTAGACGTAGTCAAATCTCTATTCAAGGCCAGATGATGTTGCATTGTATCAAATAACACTGAGGAGCGGAAGCCATAGGGCTCTGCCGTTGCTGCATCTATCGGTGGGGAAGAGGAGGTTTGGTGAGCTGCCGCACTCTCTTTTGCTGCAGAGGTAGAATCTGAAAAGCCAGGTGAATATAAAGGTGAGGACTCTTGTGGAGTGAGTGGAGAAATATCAGATTTTGGAGAGAGTTTCTCTCCTTCCAGACTCTGCACATTCTCGGATGCAAGTGATGCATATAAAGACATCTCTCGGGGAGGAACAACATCAGAGAGAGCATCTTCCTGAAGAGGAGAGGCTATCTGAGAAGGAGTGTGAGCAGAAGAGGTGGATGGGGAAGCCTCCACCTGAGACACAGAGATGAGCTCAGACAGATCATTATCCTGGGTGTAGGATGGCTCTTCTGTCGGAGGGATCTTATGTGACAAACTAGAGTCCTGAATATCAGAGGGACTATAGTCCACTTCAGTTGGCCCATTTTCAGTGATGTGAAGCATACTAGCACCCACAGTGGGGTGATCTGGAGACTGTCGACTAAAGTCCATAGCAAGAGAATGCTCAGGGGATTCCTGGCCAAATTCAATAGACATCGAAGATTGTTCGGATCGGTGGTCTTGAACTGGTGTCCTAGATTTGGCTGTCTTAGGAGAGAAGTCTGGAGGAGAAATTGACATTGGCCTTGGGCACTCTTCTTTAGATGGAGACATTTCTGTTTCCTGGAAAGTGGTAGGTGTTTGCACCACAGAAACCGACAGGGAGTCGTCAACCTCTGTGGAATGTGGAGAGCCCACTTCAGCATGCAGAGAAGGAGACACGTCATCTGTGGTTGGCTCTGGGAATGAGCTTGTAGCCACAGAGGCAGTGGAGACTGAGGCCACACCCTCCATGTGAGAGTAGGTGTCTTCTGCCACACCCTCATCTACAGGCGTGGCTGACTTGTCTGAGACAGTGCCTTCTGAAATGGACATCTTGGTGTCTTCTTTGAAAGAGCCAAACTGACTGACATCTATTTGTGTTGGAGATACATCTCCTCCCAATTTCCTTTCATCCAAAGCCAGAGCTGATTGAGAACTCATGATTTCAACATCATTGGTTTTCTTTTCTGGACCAAAGTCTTCCTTTATGGGTATGAAGCCTGTGCTTTTCTCTTCTTGTTTGTCTTGGTAAAGTCCAGTGGAAGTCAGGTCAGAAACTGGGCTTTCTTTGTCTGGGAAGCCTTGCTTTCCATTCTTCCCTTCAAAGGGGCTTTCCGAACGTCTGCCAAGAGCATTGCTATCAGCACTTAGGAAGTCTTCATATGCAGACTCAGATCCAATAAGGGGAGGACTGCGTAAAGGAGACAGAACTTTCTCAATAGGAGACTCTGAGTCAGGCACAGGCTCATCCATGGGGCTTATGGATGCTCTCTCATTCTCATCTTTGGCCTCACTGAATTCAAAGCTCACTGGAACTGCCTGTGGCTTTTCAGTGACTTCTGTAGGTAGGTGACTGGTCTTCTCATCGGTGGGAGATTGGTAGTAGGGCGTGTGGCCAGCACTGCCTGTCACAGACTGAGATGGCGAGACTACTTCCAAGGTCTTCTCCTCGGGACTGGCACAATGTTCTTCAACCACTGCTTGGGTCACTCCAGGGGACACTGACGTTGGCTCTCCCTCTGCAGAGACTTTAATCTCATTGGGTGTCAGAGAGAAATTCACACTCCGTTCACCCAGGGGAGTCTTCTCTATGGGTGATAGTGGAGAAGAACTCAGGGATGGACTCTTGGCTGGGCTAAGCCTCTCATCTGAAACATCTTTGATATCCAACTCGGCACTGGCTCTCACTTCTTTCTCTTCTGTGCAGTAAGCATCACGAAGAGCAGACTTGCTGAATTTGTCTTCTTCCATGGACGAAGGTGGTGATATGGTGGAGGCAGAGGCGTTGTAGTCCTTACCGTCAGTGGCATCTGTTTTTGAGCCATCTGACAATCCGTTGAATGATGCAGCAGCAGGTTTGGAGTACTCCTGAGAATACAGTGAAGACTCGTATTTGGTAATGTTTACAAACTCTTGAGATGGGGACTCTGTCTCCTCATTGTTGGTCTCGTCACTCATCACGTCCCGAGGGGTAGACATCTCATCCATTGGAGTAGGCTCACTAGATATCTCAATGGTAGACTGAGTATATCCAGAGGTGGCAGTGAATTCCTCGGGCTGGTCTTCCCGATTCTCCTCATCTGAAGCAGTGGCCTCACTCTCGGAGCCTCCAGGTAGGGTCTCATCATGAATTGAAGATGCAGGTTCTCGGCCAGGAGACTGCACTCCAGGTTGCTTGACCGGTGTGCCCAAGAATCCATATTGCTCCTCAGTGACTCCAGCCTCTGCGGCCTTGTCAGCCACAGCCATCACATAATCTTCAGTCTCAGTTCTGTCGGGCTCATAGTCTTCCTCTCTGGCATCCTCTGCTTTGTCCTCCTCTTCACCCTCCTCCTCAGATTGTTCAGCGTCTCCTTTCTCAAGCACTTCATCCATGTCTTCTTCTGCCCGGTCGTCACCACTGGCCACAGACTCCCTCTTCTCCTTGATGTGTACGTCTGCCTCAGCCTTTGCACTTTCGTCATCTTCTGTGGGGCTGTGCTTAGAGGCACTTCCGCTCACATTGTCTTCCCCATCCTCTTCAGGCTCCTCAGCCTCCTCAGTTTCTGCCTTCTCTTCGTAGTCTCCGGTCTCTGAGGATTCTTCAAAACCAGCTCCTTCATCTTCAAACTTCTCAATGTCATCCACGCCCTGCTTCTCAACTGGCTCCAGCTCCTCAGGGGTTTGCTCACACTCTCCCTCCCCCTCGGTGGTGGTGATCCCCTCATCAGGTGACTCAGCAGAACCTTTGCTGACTTCTGTCTCTTTCTGGATGACGTAGGCTTCTTCTGGCTCTGTTTCCTTCAGTTTCTCTTCGTCTTCAATGAGCTCCAGCTGAGGCTTGATGTCCTTGGCCACATCAATCTCCTCAGCCTTTAGCTCCTCGAAGTCCTTGGTCAGATCCTCAGGGGATGACATAAGGGACCTCTCAGCTTCAAGTTCTTTGGCAGGACCACTGGCCGCTATTCCAGCTGCTGCCACTGCAGCAGCTGTGGTGGCAGCAGTGCCAACAGCTGTGGCAGCTGCTTCTGTGGCCTTACTGTCCTTTTTAATGACTTTGACCTTCCCCTTGTCCTTGAGTTTCCCAGCAGCAGTAGGCTCCTTCTTGGCGGACTCTTCTTTCTTTGCTACTTTTGGTTTTAATGCAGCTGGCTTCTTTGTGTCTGACAGAGGAGTTGATTTCTTTACGTCTTTGGAGATCTTCTTGATTTCCTTTTTGGGTTCCTTATCTTCCTTTTTAGCTTCTTTCTTTTCATCTTTCTTCACCTCCTTCTTGGCATCCTTCAGAGGCGTCTCCTTCTTCACCTCTTTCTTCAGCTCCTTTTTCTCATCTTTTTTGATTTCTTTCTTGATCTCCTTCTTCACATCTTCTTTTTTTGGCTTCTCGTCTTTCTTGAGGGGCGTCTTGTCTTCCTTTTTAGCCACTTCTTTCTTGGGCTTTTCCTCTTTCTTTTCTTCAGGTTTTGTCTTTATTTCCTTTTTGACCACTTTCTCTTTGGTGACTTTGGGTTTGCTCTCAGTGGCTTGCTTCTCAGCCACCTCAGCTTTTACTGGGGACTGCTCCTCTTTGCTGGCCACCTCCTTTTCCGTCACTGAAGGCTTACTTTCTGTCTTGACAGGCTTATCTTTTTTCACTATCACTTTCTCTTTGCTTTCAACTTTGGGTGTTTTCTCCACTTGACTAGCTTTTGTGACTTCAGGGGCTTCCTCTTTGGACTCCTTCCTCACTGATTTACTGGAAGGTGATTTTGTGGCTGGCTTCAGACTTTCTCGGCTGTCAGCCCGCTGTTTCAGTTTGACCTGTTTCACTGGAGGGGTGGGCACCTGGCCAGTGAGATCTTTTTGGGTGGCCAGTGGCTGCTTTAGGAAGTCTAGATGTTTGAGTTTTTCAAGTCCTTCTAGGATGTTGTACTGGGTGCTGTTTCCAGGAAACAGAACCCGAATGATTTTCTCAGCAGGGTTGGCTGGATGCCACACAATCAAAGATGAGACTGAAGTGAGATAGGAAATTGGGATATCTACTTCTTGACCATTGGGCAGGATTAGTTCGGCCTTGTCTTTGTTGGTGCCAGTCCACTGTTGCATGAAATACTGCATTTCCTTGCTGCTTTTGATTGGGTTGAGCACGTACATCTCAAGTTTACCTACTCCCATTTTCTGGAAGAGGATGACAGGCTCAATGGTATTGCCTACACTTCTAAATAAAGGCTCTGGTTTCATGGACAGTTTGTTTAGATACTGGAGGGTGAAGCATGCTTCTTCGATGCTTCTCTTCATCTTGATATTGGGTTCTGGATTTTTCAGATTTTCAGGTACATTGAGAAACACAACCCCCAAGTCAGGGGAGATGAGGTTTTTCATCCAGTCACTGTTGCTGGTAGAGCCCTGGGACCGCTCCTCTTCCAGCTCTGCAATCTTGCGCTGTAGCATGCTATTGATACCAGGCAAGTTGTCATCCCCAATGTGGGTGAGCAGGATGGAGTCCACACGGTCCAAGTGCCGAATGAGCTTCCAGAAGCAAGATTTTCTCTCTGATCCTCCGTTAATGAGCATATTGAATCCATTCACTGCAAACAGGGCCGAGTCCCCACGGCCCCCTGGAAAAATGTAACAGCAAGGCTTGGAGAGCTTCAGAAATCCGCCCGAGGTCGGGGGCTCCAGGATGTCAAAGGGAGAGGGGACTTCTACAGACTCTGAGAGATACTCAGTGAACTCAGAAAGTCCCTCCATTTCTGGCAAGATAGAAGCTGAGTTGAGCTTAATGTTGATGAAGTCTTGAAGATTGTGTCTGTCAAGGTTGGAGTTCTTCCAGTCTCCCTCCTCCGGGCAGAAGAGGGTGAGGCTAGCTTTGTTGGCAGGGTGGGTGGTGCTCAAGAGCTCCCCAATCTGGATTTGCAAAGAGAAAGAAAGGGAAAAAAGAATAAGTGATGTCATCATTGGCTTATCATCTCCATCATTGCTAGTTATTGTAGGATCACTGACTTTACACAGGACTTGACCCCAGCACTCGGGAGGCAAATGCAAGTAGTTCTCTGTGAGTTTGAGGCCAGCCTCATCTACAGAGCAAGTTCCAGGACAGCCAGGGCTACACAGAGAAAACCAGTCTCAGAAACAAATAAACAAAACCATAAACAAACAAACAAACAAACAAACAAAAACCTGACCATTACTTGGCCATGGTTCTGATTAAAATATTTAGAAACTTGAAGGTAGACAGCCTCTATTCTGAGTCCCCACATATACCCTCTGCTACCTCGAGGCCTCTGCTCTAGGGTCCTTGCCCAGGAACCCTGTTCCAGTTCCAAAACTAGGGACCATCTGGGTGACTGGTGTTTATATCATAAAAGTTATAAAATAACTTGAATATTGTCTCTGGGTGTTTGCCATCAAAGATGCCCTTTAACAAATACTAGACAATCCCAGGAGAACAGCTATCCATCATTTCATCATGGGTTAGAATCCTTTCCTTTAGCTCAAGTCAGACAAAAAGCCAGCATGGAGAAGAAGGTGGATATGAAGTCTCACCACTAGCTAAAGTGCTGTTGGCAATTGATAGCTGCTAGAAAAGGGATAGCTAGTTCTCCTTAAGGGTGTGGCCCCTTACTAAATTGACCACACCCAGTGGAAGGTCATATATCCAAGAATATATGGGCAGCATAAACTGGAGAAGGTGGGTTTGTTTATTTGTTTAAATGAAAAAGAGGATAAAAGGTTAATTGGTAGGGAGAGGGGACAGATGTGGGAGGAATTATAGGAGTGAATGAATATGGTCAAAATACATTGTACAAAATTCTCAAAGAACCAACAAAAAATAAATAAAGCCTTTGCTTCTCTTAACTCATTGGACTTGTCAAAAAAGGGCTAGATCAGTACATCTGAGGAAACCAGGTATGTCTTGTTTCTCCTTTCAGAATTCAGTAGACACAGGAATAAAAAGTGCAGTGGGTTTTGTTTTTCCCTCTGGGAGGCAGGTAGTTATTGGTTGTCCACTGCTACAACTGCACCAACGCTCACTCTGTGACTGGCCTAGCAGACCCTCTGCAAATACAAATGCTCCTGACGAAGCCCTGACAACAAAGTGGCTGGGCAAACCAGTGGCTATGTTCACTCCTCTGTGTAAGTTTAACTCTAAGGTGAAAAAATAAAAATAAATAATTCCAAGGTGAACCGTTCAGCTCTCTATATGATCTCAATGGACAGGGGACAAACTGACTGCGACTGAATTAGATCTCATTTGGCATAAACATTTTTTTCAATATGCCCTTTAGTACTTCCCATGGAAGAAAATACGGAAAACCGAATCGGGACCAAAACAGCACGTATGGTTTACAGAAAGTTTTCCTTTCCAATATCAGGGCTGTGTGTTTTTATCTGTCTTGACTCAGCAAAGGTAAACCATGTCATAAGCCCCAAACTTCTGTTTCAGCAGATTGCACACATCAGCTCAGAGGTTCAAGGGCCTGCATTGTGATGTAGATGATTCAGGGCCAAAACAAATGTCCATTCCTGAGGCACTGCCTCCGAACCCTTACCCTTGGCTTCTAGTCTCATTGAGTTCCAGAACACTCCATTCCAAGGCTATGGCTGTGAGGGTATGTATGCAAAGACAATGTACAGAACCCACGATGATTTCCTATAGTAGATTGCAGGGGAGCAGCCATTTTTGTTCTGTTAGACTATCCATCATAAATTGATGTCACAAAATACCAAAATAAGAATGCTGTGTGCCATTTTCCTCTGACTTAATCATCTTCCATAAACCAGTTAAATGTCAACTCATGTTTTGAGAACTAAGAAAACTAAAACAGCAAGTGGCAAACATCCATGGGGGTAAAGGGAATCACTGAATAAAATATTTCTTATAACCATCTCCTTAGGGAAACTTTGTTCAGATTATTTGCCAAAGCAAAGATGAATAAGGTTTTATTCTTATTGCACGTACTTACTTACCTATTTATTTATTTGTTGGGCATGTATATGTCATGGTGTATGTGTGTGGAGGTCAGAGGGCAACTTGCTGAAGTTGGTTCTTTATAATGTGTGGGTTCTGGGGAATGGGGCGTCAAATGCAGGTTGACATGCATGGTAGTAAAAGTATCTTTACCCATCTCATTGGTCCTTTAAATGATTTCCTACTACATTTTATCTATTTATTTTAAAATATGATTTCTTGCCCAATAATTGGCATAGACCCTCCTCACCACAATTTCAACATGGTGGGCTTGCGCATTCCTAACTTTCACACAGAGCACAAGAACTACTCATTCTGTGCATCGTGGGGTGGCAAACCAAGGATAATCCAAACTGCCACGACTTTCACAACAAAAATTTAAAGCTAAGTTCAGTTCATTTTAATCTCTGAGATCCAGTCTAGTTGAGCTAAAGTAAACTGAAGGTCTAATCTATCTGTGTGCATCTGGGATCATTCCGTCACTAACTTAAAATGGCTTTTTAAGATTTATTTATTTTGTTTTATGTGTGGGAGTGTTTTGCCTGTATGGGCAGTACTCATATGCCTGGTGCTTTTGAAGGGCAGAAAATGTATCAGGATGGTTGTGGACCATCAAGTGAGTGTTGGGAACAAAACTCTACTCCTCTGGAAGAGCATCCAGTTCTTTTAACTGCTGAGCCATCTCTCCAGCTCCTAACCGTTATCCTTTTAAATGGAATACATAGTCACCTAATTCAAGGAGAAAGTAAGAAGACTTGAGAAATATTATCCTACTTTCTACCTCTTTACTGTCTTCAGAGAGTTCCAATGAAATGCTGAAAATGACTAAAAAAATCTGAGTAAGTCAGGGAGCATAAACGACAACCAGGAGCCATTACTACATAGAAAACTACGATTTAAGGAGACCAGAAAAGCAAGCCTCCAGCACTGCTGGACAATTCTCTATCCAGACACAGAAAATTTAATCACTCTGGAAACTGTCAGCATGCTGTACACAACAAGACAGAAGCACAAAGGCAAGAGTTGGAGTGAGCCAGTTATGGAGACAAGATGGGATAGGCTAGGAGATAGGAAGGCTATCACAACATTCTTGGGGCTACCCAACAGAACTAAAGCCCCTGTGTTTTCCCATAGTGCAACTCTAGGCCTGTGAGATAAGCATCAGGATGAGGACAGAAGTCAAGAGCAACAGGTATCTTAAGATACCCAGTCCATGGTGATGTTCAATCCACACCTCAGCAGTGAATGGAGAGACCAGTAAGGCTTGACAATACTGGCAGTAGTGAGGAGTAGTGAGTAGTAGTATTATGTCTAGTTCTTTGAAACTGGGGCTGCTTCCAAATGAACTGGGAAGCCATGTTCATAGTAACAGCAGCCACACAGAAAACCCTATTAAAATGAAAGTTTTGTTATCTTTGTTTCCCCTATGTATAACCAGGCACAGTACACTAGGCTATACTAGACTAATTTTGGACAATTCAATACATGTTGTCTTCCTGTAGCAGTGGCAAGTGCCTGCCGATGCTTATCAAACAAAGGCTGTTACCATGGTTCTCACAAAGATGGATGGTGGACATGAGTGGGAGTAATACTACTTTGGGATAAGATTGTCTCTTTTGTTAATTGTCTTTCCTGATTAAATTCAGGCACACTGAAAGAGGAAGGAAGATACAGAAATAAATGGCTTTACTGGAGATATTAACAAAACAAATTATAAGCCATGGACTTTTTCTAACTACATTTTCCTTTTTGATTGAATGACCTGCTTAGCTGAAGAGGAAACACTGTAGACAGAGTGTCTCTGGGCTTTGGAAAGACCCATAACAGTGACTTGGAACTGTGTGATTGTAGAATTACATGGAATTATAGGCAGTGGTGGTACTTAGTGTCAACCAGGAGGAACATCTGCAGTAGGCTACTCCAAGTTCATTTCTCTGCTGATGAGTACTGACTGGGATAAAAATGGAACAGACATGCTTGTCAAAGCTGTGCATGGCTTCAAAACGAGAGGAGTGGGGGAGTATGGGACGGTAGAGCTAAAGTGTTTAGGAAAGCTTTGGACTTAGGACATAATGGCAAGGCAACTGCCAATAGGGTGGCATTCTAAAGATTTAAATGTCAGGCTCAACAGCCAGCAGATAAGGACGGGCTTGGAAGACGCAGCTTAACAACAATATCCATGGAAAACCTGGGGGATTTTAATTGACAATCAAACGGATTTATATGAAGCCAAAGAAGCTTAAACTTGAAGGTCCCTTACTGGCTCCGTCCTCTACTGAAGTACAATACTTAAAAGGTTTATTAATAGTGGATTTCCTTTTTTCTCCATATTATGTTAATTTGCAGAATGCCTCAAGGCTGTACCTCTTCTCCACTGACACCTAATCATGCTTGGAGAAAATTTGAAGCTTTTAGACTTATTTATTAACTGGACTGAGAACCGCTCAAGTTGCTGACTCTGGTGACACTAATCTGGTCAGATGATTTCTGGAAAATGAGGTCTAGGTTAGTACAGGACGTCTAACAAGTTGTATTTATTTATTTGTATTTATTCCCCCCCAACCCCCGCCCTGTGTGTGTTGATGCTGGTTGTCAAAATCAAGGTCTTGGGAATGCCAGGCAAGTATTCTACCACTGAGCTATATCTTCTCCTTCCCGAATTGTGAAACTTTAGAGAAACTTGATTAAACAAACAAAATTCCAGAAACAAGTCCTACTTTCTGGACCCTTCTCTTTGACTTCAACCTCTAGAGTTTTTCTTAATGCTTTCTCTCTAGAGTAAAGCACCTGTCTTCTGGGCTTTAAATACCCATAGAATGTAAATGGATTACAAATGGGTATCTATCATCAACTCAAAGTTTCTTAGCTCTGGGTTCCACCTGTTTGATAATTCCAAGGTGTCAAAGAATGACAAGTTCTGACAGCTTGGATATTCTCTACACCTACTGTGACAGGGAACACACAGGGCCTTTTGCGTTTAATAGATAGCTAAGAAGAAAACAGAAGATACTTACTCTAGGGGATGGGGGGAAAAGGATGCTGTAGTGAACTTGGGGTTAAAGTCCCTTCTTGAAGATATGATGAAACAGAAAGAAAAGCCTTTTCCATGGAAAGGTTGAAAATGTTCTTAGAAATGTTTGGTTTTCTAACGTTATGTTTTCTAATTCCTTTTTAATTGACTAGTATGTTTCCAGGGTTGGACAAACGGAGCAAGACTCAACAGCAAATGACCTCAAGTGAGTCATTCTGCAAGACTGCTTCCAAGGCAACAGTAGGTAACCATAGCTCCAAATATGAGTATCCATTGGTCTACTCTAGCTAGTGATTTTAAAACATTTTTATTAATTTTGCCTCCATGTCTGTCTGTCTGTGTAGTATGTGTATCCAATGCCCTTGGAGGCAAGAAGTTGTTGGGTCCCCTGACACTGGAGTCACAGAAAGTTGTGAGTTGCCATGTTGGTGCTAGGAATCAAACCTGGGTCTCTGGAAGAATAGCTGGTGCTCTTAACCACTGAACCACCTCTCCAGACCCTAGTCTAGTCATTTTCAATCCAATTTAGCTGTGTAGCATCCTTTCTTCAATGTTTAGGTAAAAGAAACACAGGCTGAGTTCTTCTGGTTTAGCAGGGGCGGATGCATGAATTCCACCCTCTCCCTGCCACCCTGATACCAATGATCTAGTCTATTAGAGAAAATTGTGGAGAGCCTTTCTCATGCACTGAGTATGACTTCCTCTGGAGAAGGTGAGGTAGGAGAGGAGAATATGACCATCCATGGCATCTGTCGTGGTTGGCAGATGAAATAACATGCAAACTACTCAGAACCCACGTTTATGATTACAAACCCTGGAGAAGTTTCCCCTTCTACAGAACGTGCATTCTTCAGATAAGGCTTTCTTTTTCTTCATAATTAGTGATAAAGCTGGGCACGTGCACAGTCCACTGTACAAAATCTCCATTGCCATGACTTTTAAAAGTGATTTAAGTGGAAACTTCATAAAACCATTCCTCATTCTCAAAGAGTGGATTACTTGGGGCCCAGATGACTGGCACATGATACCTTCTTATGTAGAGTCTTGGCGATGATAAAAATATGTTTCCTTACACATTTCCTTTGTTTGGTTTCATGGCAAAAACACAAACCTATGATGTGGCCAGAAGGAAAACTCCAGAAAGGAACTGCAGAACTGTACAGGAATGCAGGAAGGCGCCATCATGCATGCAAATGAGCCAAAGGCTGAGGGCTGAGCCGGTCTTACCAGCCTTGTCACTTGACCGCTCAGCATGACATTGGCCAAGACAACATGACAAGATGGGACAAGATGCTGACATCTGAAATGCCAGACAAAAGCCCAAGTACCTGTTTATAGCACATGACCTATGAACAGATCTTGAAAAATCTATTTTAGGGACTTTTCGACAATTTCCCAGCCATCCCACCAGGGGAAAAAAATCATAGTTCTTTCTCTGGCATTTCAGGGCAATTGAGCAATGCGGCTGTGATAGAACAGAGCATTTGGCTCAGCCCTCGGGGAAGAGGAAGCACAGCTTGAGAGACAGATACAGGCAAGCTTCCGCCTTAAAGTGGGAAGACAGGCCAGCTGTGAGTGAGCCCAGAGGCCTCTGAGCAAGGAGCCACTTGCCAGTGAGAGATCTTTCTCACTCTGGTGAGCTGGTGCTATTTGCCTCCAGGTACAGATGACCTCACACCCTCTGAAAGAACTGGAGCTCCACACACTGGATAAAAATGTCCCTTTCCACACTTCCTTGCTATCTCCCTGATCTGTGTGTGGAGAGGGGAAACTGTTGTGTTATCTCTCCAGGGTTTTCCTGCAGCCTCCAGGTGAACCCAAATGAAGCTGGACAGTTTGCTGAGAGGTCAAGCCACAGAGACCTCTCTGTGAAGTGTGGGGCTGAGGAAGACTGAATGCTGGGAGTCATATGGATGGCCCTTCCCAGCATGCGAGATACCAAGGCTGCCATCTCAGAAGACAGACCTAACGGCTGCAGTAACTCTCAGAAGTGCATACCTCAGTCCACCCACAGCTTCTCATACAGCCTCTCTCTAAATACAGGGTCCCGTCATTAGAAGTAAGAGAAATTAAATATTGATCATTCAAATTTGCTCACACTGCCCACCAATATCTCCTCTGGTACAGTGGCCGAGGTTCTAATCATCCCTCAATCGTAATAGTGATCTAGTCCAGGCCTAAGCAATTTCGATCATAGTTTTGCTTATTTCAAAGGGGCTCCTCCTACTACCTTCCCCATGCATCCAAACAGTAGCCCAGACATGCTGTGTGGAACCCACCTCTTGATCGGTGAAAATCTCTATGAAGTTCTGGAAGGAGAAAGAGCCAGACTGGAGAATGAGCTCTCCAGTGTTTTCAAAGCACTGTCCGGTAAGCACCAGCAGTTTATGGCGGGCGGCGTCAGTGATCATCAAACGCACCTGAAATACAACACAGGCACAGAATAAGTGAGGGGTGAGGAACAAGAGCTGCCCGCCCCCAACCGCTGCCCCCAGTCCCAGGCACTATGACAGAGTCTGAAGATTAATACCAACCAAATGCATTCATTTCAAGTGTCTAATTACTTCAGCTGGGGTGGGGGGGGGGTAGGGAGTGTTGGACAGAGCCTGTCTGTAGGAATTATTCTTAAAATTAATCATTGAGGTTATTAGTGTGCTGGTGTATACCATCTTAGAGTTTTGCTTCAACCCCAAACAGCAGTGGTTGCTGACTTTCTCCCCTGAGTTTCCTCCTCTTTTTACAGCGGTCTTGGCAGCTGGCAAGCATTTGTTGGACAGCTGTTATAAAAGTATCTACTAGCAGCCTGCAGCCTACATGTAGCCTCTGAGGCCAGGAGAGACTTGAGGATATGCCACTCCAGGTTCCTACTCAGGATTCCTTCCTTCCAGTCCTTACAGAGCAAGCACACCATGACAAATGCAGACTCCAGAGCTTGCAGCAAGGTGCTTGACACTGAACAAAAGAAAAGGCGACCCCTGAGCGACTGAATTGAAAATAACTTGTGCTAAAGAACCTTTGCTGAATTTTCCGTGGCCAGGAGCCAGCGGTACTACGCAGGAGCACCACCCTCAGCGCCAAGGTTCTGAACCCGGTTCATGAATGTTTAGCACACACTACGTGCCCTGTGTCATGCTCTGCACCAGGAAAAATTCAAAACTAAATAAAGAGGCCATGACCCCTGCCCAAGAACCCCACAGGCCACTCATGGAAAAGCATGCATACCAAAGTACTTGTCTCAGGCTCACACGGTCCACAGACTAGCTTGATACAAAAAAAAGCTTTTTTTGTTCCCCCATTCCTGTCTCACAGCTAGACAGTCTCCCTGGGCACACACTAGCCCTCCAGCTTTTAGGTGACAGAAAGTGCCACCTCGGTGTTTTCTGTGACTTCATGCCTCATTGGATTGTCAGAGCTGTTGCAGCCAGAAGTAGGTCAAAACAGGCCCGATTATGATACCCACAAACCAAAAGCAATATAAGTGGCAGCAACTAAAAAACAAATAATCAGATGTGGTGAACGTACAAAAAATGATGCCACACGACCGTCAGAAGGTGTGCGGGACCCACATGCTGCAACATGACTGGATTGTGAAGCCACTAAGTTAAGCTCCACAAAAGAGGCCACATATTGTATGATGCTGTTTGTATGAAATGTCTAAAATAGAAAAATCCGGAGAGAGAAAATAGGGGTTGCCAGACGCTAAGAAGCAGTGGAGTGACTGCTAATGGGTTTAGGAGATTTTTGGGGGGACTGACAGGCATGTTCTGGAGTTAAACTGTGATGCTATCTCTTCAATTTTATAATAATTATTTTTTTAAAAAAACACACAAAATTATATACTTTCAGTAAATAGAGTCTCTGGTTTATGAATTATATCCAAATTTGAAAACCTGTATAGTGAGAGCTGCTAAAGACTGACAGAAGGCACCTTAGGCAAGGATGCTGCCAGGGCCTTTGGCTACTTTAATGTTCAGGAAGTAACTCTATCTCCAAGGTGGTGGGAGGGGAATTCTATCAACACTTGCCTGAGGGACCAGGGATGCTCTTGGCTTCCGTTAGGGTGGATCCTGAAATTCCCAGTTACTCTCTCCAGTAGTATTCTCATGTGATGCTAATGATACAGCAGCAATGGCCAACAAGCCCACCTCTGCCACTATGTGCCACACGCTTTTCTAAGTGTGAATGTTCAGACTCAGAGAACATTAAGTAAGAGCATTAAATCCGGGGGTCATTGTGATCTCCTTTGCACAGAGATGCAAACAGAGCAGTAAGATAACTTGACAGAGGCCAGCAGCTTCTACGTGGCAGACCTTGGAGGATGAAGCCAGGTGATTCGACCTGGGCTAGAGACCACGTTTCTGATGCTTGTGCTGGGCCTCCTTCCAAGGCTGAGTGGTGGCCTGAATCGCTCTAAGCAGAGATGCTACTGGGATGCTCGTCTTCTCTGAGTTCCATCCCTGTATGTGCCAGCCTGGGGCTTGCTGTCTATTTCCTCTGCTACATTCTTGCTCGGCATCCTGGCAACAACATACCCAGTGCACATTCTACACCCCTCGACAAACATGCTTCCAGTTGGCACTGTCTGCTGTCTCCTTATTTGAAAGAGGCTTCTGGTGAGCTTGTGCTATGATACTAGATGCAGAGAAGCAGGCTCTGGGCATCGAGGAAGCCTGGGACTTGGGACCTTTGTACATCTCCAACTCTGTCACCTATCTAGCCCCTCTGATCAGCGAAGCCTCCATCCTTTGAGGCTCTAAGACCTCCCAGAACCGAATACTCACCTCAGTGCTGACTGCTTCATCTGAAGGGTTGATCAGAACTACTGTTTCTAAGACGTCACTTCGGTGATGAAGAATCTTTTGTCCTGAAGGCACAAAAAATTGACAAAGAAGAGACCTTTAGCTTTTCCAGATGAAAGCGGCTCGCCTACTTCTGGGACAGTAGAGAAATTTCCAACTCAGATGTGGCCCTGGAAACTGGGAAACACAGTGGACGCTACTGAGCGAGAGGGTGTGCACACAGCAGGCTGAACTAGAGCTGGCGTAGCCTGGGGGCCCCAGGCTTTTACACTAGGTCTTTCATGGTCGAGGGCTAGGCAGTCTCCTGACCCAATGGCCGGGTTTTCATCAGAGACCAGGGAGGGGTGCCAGGAAAACTCAACGGGGCTCTTGACATTTCCTTTCTCATGGTAATTGGGGATGTTTCTCCCCAACCGCCTTTCTTCTGGTGAGAATTGCGCGGAGATTAATTAGGAGCCTCATTGTGAAGTGAATGACGGCCAGAAACCGGGCTAACAATTAACCGAGCAACCAGAGTGGCTGTCTGAGGCAGGCTTACGGTCTGTTGGGGTATTCACTAATCAATTCACTTGCTTGTAGGAAAGTGAAGAAACCGTGGGCAAAAGAAAAGTGGAGGGCAACCCTCCCACAGGACAAGGTGGCCAAACTGCCCGACAAGACAAAACTGAGGGAGAACTAAAAAGGTAAGATGTGGTTTGGGATGAGGGAGCCTGCTTAAGGATGCTCTGCAGGGCTCTTGATATCTCCTACTCCGTATGGGACCATCCAGTGGCTGGTCAGCCTCAGGCTTAAGTCAGCAGAGACCTATGAATTGCCTTTCTACACACATTACCCTGCCTTGACAAGGATATGAAAGCCATCTAGTGAATGTGACCAGAGTCGCTGATGTATGCTTTACCGGCAAACAAGGGACAGAGAGGGGCGTTCCCTAGGAAATGTGGGAGGAAGCCACGTGGTTGGGAGGGAGAACATGCCTGCTGTTTGGAAGTACAATGAAGCTTGGAAGACAGGAGCATCTGAGGGAGATATCAACAGAGAAAAACAGAAGGAAAATAGATCTAGGGTCCTTCGAAAAGCTAAAACAGCATCCTGTGTGACACTGCAATTTAATTGGTTGGTGCACTTGAAAGCAGAAACTTGAACAAATATTTTGCGCTAAAGTTAATTACAGCATTATTTTAATAGCCAAAAGGTAAAATAACCCAAGTGTCTGGGTTAGATGTGGTCTACCCACAATGGACTACTAGTCAGGCATAGAAAAAAAATCAAGCTCTGCTAATGTTACAAAGATGAACTAGAACATACTACATTAAGAAAAAAAAAAGCCGGACACAAATGGATAAATAAGATAGGATTTCATGCCTATGAAATACCAGAATAGGTAAGTTGAAAATAGTAATTACCAGAGGCTGAAGGAGGGAAAATTGGGGAGCTACTGCTTAATGGGTACAATTTCATGCTTGGGATAATGAAAACATTTTGAAAATGTAAGTGATAATATATACAACCTTGTCGATGTAATGATCACTCCTGGGTTGTAGACTTAAACAATAGTTAAAATGGCTAAATTTTCTTTAAATATATTTTATCACAAGATGAAGAATCAATGTGACAGACAAGTAATCCCTGAAGAAAACACTTCACATGCATGTATGTAAAGCCATTAGAAAGGCAGCAGTTCCAGGCATGACTCTGTTAGAGATGTCCCCTTTGTATTATCAAGACTCGGAGAAAACAGAAACAGCTGCAGAGCGACATTCTTACCATGTCACCATTATCGATCATTCTTGCTTTCCTTTCAGTAATATTGACCAGTAAACTTTAGGGAGGCAGAGGAGCGGCCCAAACCAGGCAGTACTGGTGCCAAGCCCTGTTCTGAGATGTATACAGTTTCACTGAGTCCCATTAAGAGCTCTTATGAGTGGTATCATGAGCATGGCTCACTACTGAAGACGAAGAGTTGACAGAAGACATCAGTAGCTCAGGTCCCCACAACAAGTGGTCAGGCCAGGGTCTGGTCCCAGCTTACCCAGCTCTAGATCCCTGCTGCTGATGCTAGTTATCAGAACTTGGCTTTAGTGAAACAGATATCAGATGCTGAAGAAGAGTTAGAGGAAAGACCAACAGACTACAATAAGAGACAGGCTTAAAGAAGCAAGATGTCAGCATAGAGTACCGGGGGGGTCAGGCAAGGCACAGCACCTATACACAGCAAAGCAAAATTAAATAGAAACATGAAATGTCCCACTGCAAATGACCAGTCAAGAAGAAATTCCAAATAAGAACAGTGTTAACTATTTGAGACTTAGGAAAAAGATACTGAACCATGGAAAACACAGTTCATTTATTATGAGTGCTATATTTTGTAACTAATTTAAAAATTGCTTTTGGGCTTTTGGTTGTTTTCCCCTTTGACAGCCATATACACTTACAGTTAAAACACAATTCAAATAAGCAGACAATACGGTGAAAAATTACACAATTCCATACTCGATCAAGTGGTCCTTCCATCTGTGGCCTCCTCGGAACAAAGGCTTTGAGATCTTCGAAGACACAAACGCCAGGCAACACGACACTTAAATAAACGAAGGGCTATTTCTTCATCACGTCTTTGATGTGAGCACCCCAAGCACCGGACAGTGTGAGACTAGCCATTAACAGTGCTCTGTAGGAGTCACAGAAGCAGACCAAAGCAAGGTTTGCAGAAGCATTCCCCTCCCCAAGAGTTTCTAATGGAGTCAGAGCCCTTTCTTTGCAGTTCACAATGCTACTGACTGTACCCTTCAAAAGCGACAACAGCCAGCACAGCCACACTCCTACCCACACAGCATACTCCAGCCCTCCCCAGAGAGGTCTCCAGCTGCTCCCTGCCAGGGGCTTCTTACCGTCCACCAGACACTCTCATCCTCTTTGGATTCCTCTGTTGCAAAACACAACAAATGCCAAGTAGCAGCTGCTGGTCACCTCCACACTTCCTACGTCACGTTTCAGAGCACTTTGCTCAGGAACTCAGCTAGTGATGCCCTCTCCATCTTTGTAAGAACTCGGAGGGAGGACACTGACAACGCATGTGCACCAAGATGCCTTTATGTACGGTTGATTTGAATGAAGGAAGGGATGTAAAGACAGTCAGAGAGAGCTCCCAGTCTTGTCTTGGCTGGAATGCTGTCCAGATTCAACCATAAGACCCATAACCGAAGGTCAGGCCAAGGAAGGCAAGGGCTGCAGCTGAGAGACCTGTCAGTTGCCCACACCCAGCATCCGTGGGTGCCCGCTCACTCTCTGGCAGCAGGCGGCTGTCTGCTCAGGCAGCTGGGACGCTCACAAAGCTGCGTATTTGGGGAATGTTTCACACTGGGAAGAGGGCCAGGCATTCTCAGGGAGAAGCCACCACCCTTGCCTGTAAAGGTCCCCATTCAGTTGCTTCAGGAAAATAGTTCCCAGCCTCTCTCCTCACCCTCTAGTCCACCCTCCCCCATAGATACCTCATAAAGAAACCAAGGGGTACCCTATGAATAGCTAACCCTCCTCAGCCTTGGGGAGGCTGGACATGGAGTGATGGAGTTCTGTCAGTCCGTTTCCATATGAAAAAAAGTCTTTGAAGTCTTCCTCAAAAAATTCCACATAGCTGTGAGGCTGGACCTGGTGAGGCGGGGACAACAGAGAAGGCTGCTGTGTGACAAAGGGTCTGCTCCACTTCAGAATCAAAAGAGAATGAAGACCCCTTGAAGCAGCAGGGCCCTTCAGACAATGGGGCTTTTGTCTGTGGTCTCCTAGACTCCTAGAGCTGTATTTGAAATTCAAACAGTCTATACTTTGCAGTTATTGCTGAAAATTTTTTAAAATCTTATTTAATTGGATCTACATGTCTTTTGAAATTGGGTTGTTTTGTTGGTTTATGTTCACATCACATCTAGGTGATTTCTGAAATCTTTTAAGATAAAAAAAAAAATGATGTTTTCATGCTTCCAGGATAGTTATGGATCTCTTTAGGGAGTTTAAGATTTTCCTCTCAGCATGGGTGTGACACACAAAACATAGGCACCCTCCTGTGTTTCAGAGGTGGACTGTGGCTAAATTCAGGCACACTCATCACCGAGGACAGCAACACAGAATCTGGGCTGGGATATAGCTCAGTCAGTAGAAGCTTGTCTGGCATACACAAGGCCTAGGTTTGATCTCTAGCACTGCATAAATCTGTCATGGTGGTGCATGCCTGTAATCTCACTGCTTTGTAGTTGGAGGCTTGAGAATCATAAGTTCAAGATCATCCACTTCAAAGCCAGCCTGGGCTACACAAGACCCTATCTCAAGAAAAACAAAATCTAGAATCTCTTTTTACACATGGGTAACTCTTTTCTTTCACACACAGAGCCTATAACGAGTAACTGGGAGACTGAAGCATCCTTGCTGAGGCCAGAGAAACTGAGGTCCAGATCAAAGCATCAAGGTAGCCGAACAACCTCCTGATGAACCCAGAACTGCTAAAAAGCTTCTATGTTGTTCTTTGTTATTTGATTGTTGTTGTTATTGCACAACATCAATCTTGAACTCCCTTTCAATAATTACAAGCCAGAACTTTATTTAAACAACTTTAGTTTAAATTGTCTGAAAGAAGATGAAGCAGGACCTGAATGACAGACAGCCAAGATGGCAGTCAGGGAGATCCCACAAGTTCTTGCTACCCCATCGCTTTCCCTTCCTCTGCCATATCCCAGGGCTGTCATGCCTTTGCCTATCCCCTTCCTCCAGGCTTTGCTGGCTGAACGCTAGAGTGACTTTTTGATAAGGCACCAGACCTTGTGAACCCATACTAGATAGACCCAATTATGAAGATCAAAGAACATCCTAGAGTTGGGCTGGGAAATGCTTGGGCTAAAGACAGCCTGAGCTGCTTAATTAAATGTAAGGTCTGATCAATCAAGGACTATGAACACCCTGGATGTTAAAGCAGGGAGGGAGGCAGGGAGAATTTGGACAGACCTTCACGCCCCCACTCCTCCATCACAGTAGGGCTGTGGAGGGAAAATCTCTCATCTCAAACCTTTGCACTCAAAAAAGTTTA